GCCAAGAAAGTGAGCTTAAGACTACTTTCATATATTTGTCATTTTAAAATTAAAATGTACATTTATAAAGAATGTAAAATTATGGAATGATAGCATTAAAGTATCTAGGTCTCAAAATAAAGAGCTAACACAAACTTTAAACATGACATTCACTTCTTTCTAATTTGAGGATCTCTGAATTGTAGCACAGAAACTAAAACCAACCACCATTTGGAAATGTACCTCCGTTCAGGAATTCTGGGCCACTTCATTTACAAGGGTTTACTATGCTTCCTCTTGTGATATAGGGCTCTGACAAGGATGTGAAATGTTCACCGTGAATATTTTTTAGTTTCACACTAATTCAAAAACTATAGTGTTGTGATCCGTGATCCTGCTCACGAAACAAGGTTTGGGAGCTTGGACTGGGAGGGTAAGGTGGGGAATCACCAGGCAGACTCCAGGGAGGTTTCTGGAATGCTTCCACTTTATTCAGGAAATGCACAGGCTTATATAGGGAACCATGGGGGAGGAGCATGGGAGGAACATTTAACGTTTGGCAATATCTTATTTGCCAAACATGGCAGAGTGATTTCTCTTGGGTGAGATGAAAGGAGGCAGGACCAGGGGCAGAGGTGTAGCCTATTGGACCCAGCATCTATGCATTTAGGTGAGTTAGCTCAACCTTAGCAAGGTCTCCCAGTTTGCTCAGGAGACAAGAGTGTGGCACACCTGGCCCAGCCAGGCTTGAACTTCTCCCACACTATGTTCACTTTATTATTTTAAATTGTAAAAGATAATCAATGGATAGGTTGGAAAAATCCCAAGAGCCATGATTTTCAACTGACAAGTAACCATATAAAAATAATGATTTACTTACTACTAACATTATCATGTTACTCAGCACTTCATGGTCATTGGAAAGTACTAAATTTTATCAATGATCAACTTTAGAAATACAACATAGAATCTACTAGTGAATAAGTATGCATATCAGTTTAGACCTTTTTCAAAATGCTGAAATTACTAACCATTTTTAGCTATTTTTATGAAAATTAAGCATGACATAATTTTAATTAAAATATTTAATTAAGAAATTGATTACATAATTAAGAGATATTTTGCTCCATCACAAGAATAAAGACTAGCTAAAATATTTAGCTGACATAAGTACAGATGTTTAGTTGTTTAGCATTGCATGTTTCTTTATTACTGTAAAATCAGTTCATGAATCAGTAAAATTATACTTTTCAGGTTATCACATTGACGTATTTATCCTTTTAAAAATATATCTTCATACTAAGACTGTCTTGGTGTGACTAAAAGGTAAATGGAATGGTACTTCCATTGGACTTACAGAGAAAGAACATGGTATTCACCAGAAAAAATATGATATGCAAGTTTTTGCTTTTGTTGGTTTAAAATGTATACTCCCCAGTAGAAGTCACCATTACTCCAAGTCAGTGGGTTTGTTCAGTTATCTCTTCAGCCAGACAAAAAGTCAGCTCAAGGATGCAAAAGGCATCCATTCTGAACCCAGGATTTAGTGCACTGGTGAGAAGCAGACAAAAGGCTGCTTGTGGCTTGCTGAGAATTAAAAATTACTAGGTGAGCAAAAAGTTGCCTCAACAAAGGTAGAGCAGGCTGCATCTTTTGAAATGAGAAGACATGTAAACAAGTCTCAAAATCAGACTTACAGATCACCTAAAGCAACCATAAAAGGCAAAAAGATGGAACAAACTGATATTCAACCATCAGGACTCCCTGAACTGGCAATGAAAGAGTGTCTGGAAAAAAATGAAATCAGAAATAATTTCTCAGAAAAGAACAGAGACTGTGACCATAACACAAAACATGACTAATAAATCTAGAGCAGACACAGATAAAAAAATTGAGGACCTGAAGAACGTGATGGAATCCCAACATAGGAAACAAATGGAATCCATAAGAGAGATGCAAACAGATTTCCAGGAGATTAAAAACTTCACTGAAAGCTTACACAGCAGAATGAGCCAATGTGAGGACAGAATTTCAGATATGGAAGATTGGATTGCAATTAGTGATCAGGAAAAGAAAAATGTCTTTAAAATAGTAAGGGATCATGATAAATCAATCCAGCAGCTGATAGGTGATGCAAAAAGGAATAACTATAAGGCTGATCAAGCTCAATGAAAAAACAGGAGAATGTGTATTCAACAAAAAAAACCTGTACACAGAAGTAATGGCAGAAAACTTCCCAATAGGAGAAAGGATCTTGACATATAGATAATTGAGGCATACAGGACTCCAACTAGCCATGATTAAAAAAGTCTACACATAGGTATATAATAGTTAAGATTCCAGAAACCCAATGGGGAAAAAAATTTCTATAAGCAGTTAGTGAAAAGAAACAAATCACATAAAAAGGAAAGCCCATCAGAATCACAGCAGACTTAACAACACAAACCCTCAAGTAAAGAAGAGTTTGGAGTGATGTATTTCAAGCCTTACAGGAAAACAACCTCCAACCCAGATTGATGTACCCTGAAAACTATCTTTCAAAACTGATGGAGAAATAAGATGCTCTCATGACAAAGAGCAACTGTGGAACTTCATGAATACCAAACAAGCACTCAAAAACTTTTAAAATGACATCCTGGAAAAAGATAAGGATCACAACCCAGGAAGCCCAGCACAATGAATCCATCTGGTATGACAATAAATTAAACTCAAAGGGGGAGAATCTAACAAAAAGAAAAAGTTGTGACAGGCATAAGCCACTACATATCAGTTATAACCATCAATGTTAATAGTCTCCATTCACCTATCAAAAGAAATAGACTGGCAGAATAGGTCAAGAAGCAAGATCCAACATATTGTTGCATACAAGAAACACACTTATTTCAAAATAAACTCATAGACTGAAAGTTAAAGGGTGCAAAACAATACTCCATGTAATGCGGGGGGGAAAGCAGCAGTAGCTATCCTGTTTACAGATCAAGTGGATTTCAAACCAACACTGATTAAGAGAGACAATGGATGCTACATCCTTGTAAAGGGAACAATTGAAGGGGAAGAGATAACAATCATAAATATATAGGCACCAAACACAAGTTCATCCAACTATATAAAACAAAAACTAACAGGCATGAAAAATCAAATAAGCACTCAAACAAAGGTAGTGCGGGACCTCAATACCCCACTATCACAAATCGATAGATTAACTAGACAGAAAATAAACAATAAAATACTAGAACTCTAGCAAACTCTTGAATAAATTAACTTAACAGATGTTTATTGTGTTCCACCCCACAAAATCAGAGTACACATTCTTTTCAACTGCACACAGGTCATTCTCCAAAATGGACCACATACCCACTCATAGAACATGATAAAGCAAGTGCAAAGGAATTGAAGTTATCCCCTGTATATTATCAGACCACAGTGTGATGAAATTGGAGATCAGTAGAAAAAGAAGTCACAAGAGTTTCATAAACACAGAAATTGAACAACACACTTCAAAATAACCAATGGATCACGGAGGAAACTAAAGAAAAAATCAGACAGTTTCTACAATTAAATGACAATGTCAATACAACATTTCAGAAACTATGGGACACAATGAAAGCAGCCTTATGAGGAAAATTCATAGCAGTGAATACTCATATTAGGAAAACAGAGCAAGCTCAGTTACACAACCTGATGCTGAACCTCAAGCTCCTAGAAAAAGAAGAGCAGGGCAAACAAAAACCCAAAGCTCATACAAAGGAGGAAATTATGAATATCAGAGTAGAAATAAATGCAATGGAGACTAAGAGAATGACACAAAACACTCAATGAAGCAAAGAGTTGATTCTTTGCAAGAATAAATAAAATTGACAAACACTTTTCCAATATTATCAAAAAAAGAAAAGAAAAGGCCCAAATCCATGCAATTAGGAGTGAAGAGGGTAAAATTATAACACATCCAGCAGAAATCCAGAGGATCCTCAATACCTATTTCAAGAAACTACATGCCAAGAAGATGGAAAGCACAGAAGAAATGGCGATATTCCTGGATACATATGAATTACCAAAGTTGGACAATGAAGACCTAAAATTTCCAAACAATCCAATATCAATCAATGAAGTTGAAAATATGATTAAAAACTTACCAACTAAGAAAAGTCCAGGTCTTCATGGCTTTACTGCTGAATTCTACAAGACAATTTAAAAAGGAACTATCACCACTACTGTTTAAATTCTTCAATGATATTGTAAGGGAAGCAATACTATCAAATTCATTCCTGGAATCAAGTATCACCTTGATCCCCAAAGCAGAGAAAGACCCAACCAAAAAAGAGAACTATAGAGCAATCTAACATCAATGCAAAAATCCTTAATAAGATAGTGGCAAATAGAATGCAGATGATCATCAAGATTGTACACCCCAACAAGTGAGATTCATCTCAGAGATGCAGGGATGATCTGACATACACAAATCAATAAATGTAATACACTATATTAATAGAGCCAAGGACAAAAACCATATGATCAGCTCAATAGATGCAGAAAAAGCATTCAACAAAATCCCAAATGTATTCATGATAAAAATCCTACAAAAAATGGGAATAGTTGGTCTCCACCTCAATTTTTTTTTTTTTTTTTGATACCAAGGATTGCACTCGAGTCCTTGTGCTTGCGAGGCAGGCGGCGGAACCATGAGTTAAATCCCCGGCCTGGTTGCCACCTCAATCTGATAAAAGTTTATCTTTGCCTTTTCCGCAGTTCTATAATAATCAAAGAGAATTTAATTTACTTAATCTTTCCAGATGAGACTCAATACCATACAAAGAAAATATCCTAATTTCTGCAAAGGCAATGTGAATTAAAACAATTATACAACTAACGAATACTGAAGGGACAAATTTTATTTTTTACTTCTTTGCTTGTTTTTAACCCTTAGAAGTGTAGAAATGATAACTGATAAACAAAGGTCACAATCTTTGCAAATGGAACTATAATAAAAATAAATGAAACATTTATTCATAAATAAAGCCCATTTTATTACTTCAAGTGATAATGATAAAATACTTCAGCAGAGCTGTTGCATTTTAAAAAATGAAACTACACTATAGATCACAATGAACAGGTAAACTCGATCCCTTTTGATGTCATGATAATTGAGCATTGCGTAATACATTTTATGAACACCCATTAGTGATTACAAAACAAATGCACATTCATCCTTTCATCTTCTTTTCTCCTCTTTGATTCTTGGGTGCTCCATTTGTTTTATGCTTTTGTGTCTACAAACAAGCAAAAAGATTACTTTGCATCACAAGACTAATACAAAAATGAACTATATGCACTGTGGCATTATAACAATAAAAGGTTACTTTTTCTCCTTAAAATGCTTCCCTTTACATTGCTAAGATATCACTGGGACAATAAGTCAAAGCTTAGACACTAACAGTAAAGGTTGCAATGCCACCATTTGCCTAATATTTCTTAAATTATTCTAAAATTATGACTTGTACTCAGAAGAGAACAGTGCCCTCTTAGCATGCATGACATACACCTCCCCAGATTTTCAGGAACTTTTTCTTATAACATTATTTTCCTGGTGCAATCAAATTAAAAATTTTACTTTAGCTGACTCAGCTGTATTATTTATTAAAAACAAAGGAAAAAACTCTGCACATCAATACCCAGGTAGTGTTCTTAAAATGAAAAATGTGAAATTTAACAATTTCTATATCTGCATGTGTTCATGACACTTACAGAAGGCTTTTGTCTTCATTTCCATTTCTCTGGCTTCTCCTTTTTCTCTAGTTCCATGTTTTGTCTTTCAGTCAATGTAAGTAAGGTATCACATCTCCCTTGGTGTTCTTTTTTTCCCCCCTTTGGTGTTCTTGAGTTACAAATATAAATGTACATCATAAACTTGTATTTTCCATCTCATTGCCATGGTTTCAACCTTTAAACAAAGGTATGTTTCTCGAGATAACATAAAGCCAGTCATACATCCCTGTACACTAGAGACAAGCAAAAGGAATTTACTTTCATATACCATCCATATCATGAATAAAAAAAGACTACTTCATGTTTTTACCTCATTGTTTAAAACCATACTGGTGTGCACTCTTCATAAATACTTACCTTTCTTATAGGAATTACAACAAAGAACATGAATATCTTATATATGCAATTCTGCTAATTTACTGTCTGTGTCTAAGAAGTCCATACTATTTATAACCAAAAAATATTCTAAAATAATACACATATTTGAGGGTCAAAATCAACTAGAACTTCAGTATTACAGAAAACAGAAATCCATCCGCAGCACTGTCGACTGTCAGCTTTGATCCTTACAGGGCAAAAGTGGTTTTGCTGCTGTAATAAGTGAACCCTCTATGTAGACAACCACAGCTCAGACATTTATAGGACACATGACACTAAGCTGAGAAATACTGACATTAACCCACAGACAGGAGGTTATGAACAAGCCAAAGTCCCCTCTCCCTTCTCAAGGGTGTGGTGGCATACATACCACCAATGGGTTACGGACACGCTATGGTTGGAATCCTGATGACTCCTGGGTGAGGACTATGTTCCAGTAATCAACACAGGGCTAAGTATATTAGGATTTGTTCCTGATTGACTAAATAAATTATTTCTATTTACAAAGACATCGATTTTACAGTAACTGAATCTATCATTCATCTACCTACATACTTAGATTGTGTTTTGTCTTCTGAAAAAGTTGTATTCGGTGGTCAAATATGAAAAAGCTCTTGTATATTGTGATATTCTACTCTAACTATACCAAGAGGTCTTAATATAAAAATTAAACTATGCTGAACTACATTTTCATCATCCTACAGAACACAGGCTGCAGTTACAAGTTCAAAGCTATTGAAATACACAAGAAAGGCACACTCCATGAGAGTTGAACTTTTCTGAATTGTAACTTCATTTAATTAGAAATGAACATCTTTGGTTGGAAACAGACACTGGAAATACAGCCTAGCATCAGACCAGTACCAAAAATAATGTCTTCATACATTCAGCTATTTAAAAATAATTAAGATTCAAGATTCTAATGTGCAGATGCCTGAATGTAAAGAAAATATTTCTCTATAGACATCTGTTCATTTGAAAAACCAAGAAAGTAATCATGTTCAGAAGTTGAAACTGATGGTGATATTTTCCTTTCAGAACTTTGTGAGTATTGATATTAAAGAAAAACAGTTCTATTATGCAGTAATGTTGAAAGGTGTATCATATTAAGGAATGACACCAATACTGATGTTTAATTGTGGGTGTGAATAGTTTCCTAAAGAAATTATTTAACTCTGATACTAGGAAACATTTTAACAAAAACCTACTTAAATGATTTTTTTTAAAGTTAACTTAAAGAATATATTTATTCTGGGCTGGAGATGTAGCTCAGTGGCAGAGTGCTTGCCTAGCATGGATGAAGCCCTGAATTCAATTCCTGGCACCACCAAAATAAAAAGAAAGAAAAGGTAAACAACCCTTATGCGGAACTCGGCTACATTACACACACAGACAAGACAAAAACAGAAAACACACACACAAAAAAAAACTGGAGCACTACTCACAGCTGCAGTTCTGGACTTCTAATACCACTCAACTCTGAACCAAGGAGAGTGGGAATACAGTCATGATTCATCATTCGTTAGCCTTGTCAAATCCAGGCTAACGAAACATACAGTTCAGAAGTCAGTACTCTTCTTCTGTGTAGCTTTTCCTTTGTTAGTACCACCTGATATTTGCTTCTGGTGAAAAGTGATTTATACAGTCCAATCTATAAATGTCAGATATTATAAGAAATACAAATTCAGGCCAGGGATTTAGCTAAGTGGTTCTGCCTGCCTTTCAAGAGAAAGTCCTGGGAACAGAAAGAAAAAGAAAGAAAGAAAGAAAGAAAGAAAGAAAGAAAGAAAGAAAGAAAGAAAGAAAGAAAGAAAGAAAGAAAGAAAGAAAGAAAGAAAGAAAGAAAGAAAGAAAGAAAGAAAGAAAGAAAGAAAGAAAGAAAGAAAGAAAGAAAGAAAGAAAGAAAGAAAGAAAGAAAGAAAGAAAGAAAGAAAGAAAGAAAGAAAGAAAGAAAGAAAGAAAGAAAGGAAAGAAAGAAAGAAAGAAAGAAAGAAAGAAAGAAAGAAAGAAAGGAAGAGAGAGAAATGCAAATCACAAATGATCTATTTTAAACTCAGTTTTATTATAATTAAATATAATTACAAGTCAAATTTTCTGCCCAGATAACCTCAGCTGCATTATACAACCTTTGTCCTACAAGATCTTTATAGTCTTCATTATTATTATAGAAAGAAGTACAGGCTCAAATATTCTGATCATTCTTCAGAAGGTAATCCCCATACCTCTGACAGAGTAAGTTAAAGGTGTAGGCAAACTATGATGACAACATTCACAATATTTGAATATTTTTATTTGAAGAAATTTTTAATTTTAACCACTTAACAGTTTATCCTGAGTGTCACTTGGGCAGTATCTTTGCTGACATACTGACCATCCCAAGTACTGCTCAGGCAAGTGTTAACTAGTTAATTTTTGTGTGCATGGGATACACTCATACTTGTCATTTTTATATTTCCTGTTATCTTATAAAAATTAATGAAAAAGTGCAATTTTTGGTCATCCTGTATTGGAATAATTGGACTGGTAAGTAGGTAAACTCTCATTTGCTTTACTTTGAAAAATTTACTCTGATATGACAGAAGGTATACTAACTACAATGTTGATTAATGCACAAAGTACCTTTGTATCAAGTGCTTTTTTGATACTTTGGATTCTTGCCTCTCCCCTTCCAATCTGAGCCCTGAAGTTCACTGTATCTTTCCCAGAACACAGCTATACAATAGTAAAAGCTGAACACATGGAATGAAGGGAGGAAGGGTATAAATATGAATTACTTTTTATGTCTACTGTAATTTACTTGCTAAGGATTAAGAGACATTTCCATATAAAACATTTAGAGTGGGGCCAGAAAGGAAGCTTTAGTAAAGCTGTGGACTGCAAAGGTAGAGCAGAGGAGGTCTTCATTACTGAAATGGAATAAATAGAATAGAAAAGGTGGCCTGACAGCCTCACAGGAAGCAGCAGGATTCCAGCTTTTGCAGTCTCAGACTTGTAAAAGTGAAATATTTTCTTTGAGAAGAAAGCCCCAGAGGATCAAGTTCCAGAATGGCAGTGGCCTAGGGAAGTTGTACCTCAGGATCAATCCAGGCACACTACAGCCAAGAGAGAAGGAAGCCTTGCAACTCCTCCAGCTGGCAGCAGACCTTGGTATCATCCGTGTGGTTCTGGTTTCAGGGACATGCAAAGTGCAAGAGTGGTGGAATCAAGCATTGTTACCCTGAGAGGGCAGTGTGTGGAGCTATGAGGGACCCCAGAAGTCTGAAGAAGCCAGGAGTGTGGATCATCTGGGGAAAGCTACAAGAGCCACCCAAGCCTTTTCAAGTTGACAACCTGCTGCAGATTGCCTCTGACGCTGGAAGTGGAACTATGTGATTTAATGCCTGTCCTGCTGGATTTTGAACTTGCTTTGGTCCCATTCTTTTGTATTCCTGTTTGTACCTTTTGGAATGCAAATGAGCCACCGAATGTTGGAAGTGTTCAACTTTCTTTTCACTTGCATAGGGGCTTAAAACTAAGAGTTTGCTTTAACTCTCAGAGGAGACTTTGGATTTGGACTTTTCAGCAATGGTCAAACTATTAGGACTTTGGCAACTCTTAGAGATGGACTAAATGCTTTTTTTTGCATAAAGGCATAAGCATGAGTCTTTGGGGGTGGAATGCTATGGTTGTGTTTAAATGTCCCCCCAAAGTCTCATATGCATGAGGTGGGACTTTTTCTTTCAGAGGTAGTTGAATCTGGAATGTGTGATGCTGGGGTTAAGGGCGTGTGGTTACTAGATAACTACATATGAGAGATTAGTTTGGCACTGCCTTAATCCTGGTGTTTGAATAAGATGAAAGTGGCAAAAAGATGCTTCTAAATCTCACCCTTGTTGCCTTTGCTCATGTGTGCACCATGTTGTGTCTCCTCTGCAATGCCTGTTTGCTATTTCTGTCTTGGAGCCAGCTGATTACAGACTGAAACCTCTACAAACTGTAAGCCAAATAAACCCCTTCCCCTCTAATTTAGGGTGTCGGGTATTTTGTCTCAGCAATGAGAAAAACGTAACTAACACACATGACCTGTTCTGGCTTTTTCAGCTATAGTTAGCATTTTAAAAAGTCAAGTCAGGTCTTAAAAATCTTTGTGCCTCAGCCTCTGGAACTGCTGGGATTACAGGTAAGAAGTTCTCAAGTTTAAAAATAGCCCACTTTGCCTTTAAAAACAAAACCAACACAGAACAGAGCTATTATGTCACCTTGTGGAAAAAAGATCTGCTCTAAATACTTTTTTAAAGCACACAAAAAGTCATCATGTTGTGGAAAAATTAGTGGATTAAAACATAATTCAGCATAAGAAAATAGGAAGCTTCCAACAGATCTGAAAGCCTCACAACTTATGTATTAAAGCGATAAAAGGATTACCTGAGTATTCAGTGACTTCCTCTGGAGTTGTTCCTTCCATTTCTCCTGCTATGTTTTCAATATCATCACAATTTCCTACCACTAAAGTAACTTCATTAGTCATGTAAGTAACGGACAGAGTATATCAGTACAAAATTCAATAGAGTAACTCTTCAAATGTCTTCTTTCTAGTTTCCCTAGACCTTGAAATTCTTACATAAGAGTTTTTAAGCACAAAGTAAAAAGACTGCAGGATAGTTTGCAGTATACATTTTCATTCTTTTCAGATGTGTAGAGGTATCAACACACTTGGTGATGTTGTTCTCATTCCACAGGTAAGGAAACTAAAGTGAAGATTCGATAAATAATTGAGCCTCTAAACCAAAAGCAATTTGGTGATTTAAAATATTTCAAGTATCTCTAAAGGAAGAAAAGAAATCTAAATGTATCTCTAACAGATAAATGAAAAGAAAGAAGTACAAAATTATTTAATAGTGTATGAATAAGCTTCCACATCTGGGTGCTATATTCTTTATAGTATCATTATTTCTATGTCTTCTTCCCAAAAGGATAGTGCCAATTAATCAACATTTTGATTTATTTGATAGTATTATCACCATTCGCCAAGTACTACATATTATGACTATTACCACTGAAGACCTTTTCCCTTTTATACTTCATGTAGCTACCTGCAACCCCAAGCCTGAATTCAAACTCCTGTAATACAAAACTTTGAGGAAGTAGTACAAATTTACTCTTACTTCCTCCTGTCAGACAGCAGATCTAAGTGTTGGTACCCTTCTCTTGAATTCTCTCATCCAGATGTGTAATGTAGTCTTAAGATCCAATACCACACAAGGAAAGGGAATGTTTCTATAGTAGTTTATGTAGCCAAGAAGAAAAATTGTTTAAAGAGTCCTTCCCAGGTCCTAAAACAGTTGAAAATAACCACACAACAAAGAAAAGGAAAAACAAAAATAGTGGGACATTTTTATACCTCCCACTATACACAGGAAAATTTAAAAGAAATGTTATGGGTTTATGATAGTGGAAGGCTAGAACTTAGTATGTGTGAAATCTTCCAAGCATTTTGCCACATAATCTTCACAAATCTGAGGGAGGTATTGCCACCCTGTAATATCCAGTTAGTGTGACCTTCCTAAGGTAACCTAGCATAGCGGAATGGAAGAAGATTTCTTTTGACTCCACACTTTCCCCTATCAAAAACAGGAAAAGCTGATAGATGAAAGAACTACCTGCTCTAAAAAACAACACAGAAATACTTGTGAAATCTTGAGTTCAGATGTAAAAGCACCATAAAGTCAGGAAAACGTACCTGTGCAAAAAGGGTCCTCACGGGGCCCCTCAGACACACTCAGGTCCAGGGTGTCTACTTGGGCCCAGTATGTGGACTCCCCGGGCCTGAGGCCAGGGCCCCTCACTCCTCCACCTCCTTCACCGCTTCCTCTTCTGCTGTCTCCAAAGTGTCATCTGGGCTGTCACTAACCACTTCATCTGGTACAGTAAGGGCAATATATTCACACTTTTTTGCTCCTGCAGTATCACTGACCATTTCCTCAGGCGTGTTGATCACTGTGTGTGCAGTGTGATGTGTCACAGCACGTGGTAGAGAAGAAACACAAGAAAACCCATCTTCAGAGGTTGGTGATAATGAGGGTGAGTTTTGCTTTTCATCCTAACCCCCAGTAGGAATTTTATCATCCTGACCCTCAGTATGATTTTTTGGTTTGTGTTGTCCATGGATGGTCCATCCTTTAAAGTAATACAAAGCGTTCCACATTAGGCAAGATATTTTTAACGTAATACAAGCTCCCTCCTCCTTCCTGTACCATGGTACTGCTCTAAATATGTTTCTTTCTTTCTTTCTTTCTTTTCTTTTCTCTCTCTTTTTTTTTTTTTTTTTTTTTTTTTTTTTTGTACTGGGAATCAAACTCCTGACCTTGGACTTGCGAACAGGTGGCAGAACCACTGAGCTAAATCCCCTGCCCTTCTTTTGGTTTCTTTTTTTTTTTATAAGAAAAATAATCTTTATTTAAACAAATAAAAACATGTTAAGGCACCAATGTTACCTAAAACTTGAAAATTAAGATTTTTCTTTTACTGTGCTGGGCACTGAAACCAGGCCCTCCTGCATGCAACACCAGCACTCTGCAACTGAATTATGGTTCCTGCCACACAGTTAAGAATTCGCTAAAGGTTAAAAAAGACTGGAAAATAAATCTTCAGTCTGCTGGCTCTTTAATGCACACTTCTCCATCCATTTTTCTGCCTTTTTTCTACCGTTTATTGTTGTTAGGATGCTTATCAGCCATAGCCTCTTTCTTTGGGTCTCTTGAGTCACTACATTCCAGAAAACTGCTTCAGGAATCTGAATGGCAGCACTAGAAAGTTTTTCATTTAATTCCAAACTTGAAGAAATAAACTTGGAAAGATTAAGTGGTTCGTCATCTATAGCACCTCTGCAGACACAGCCTCATGTTCCTTCCTTTTAATTGGAACCATTTATTGTTGTTAGGATGCGTATCAGCCATAGCCTCTTTCTTTGGGGCTTTTGAGTCACTACATTCCATCTAACTGCTTCAGGAATCTGAATGGCAGCACTAGAAAGTTTTTCATTTAATTCCAAACTTGAAGAAATAAACTTGGAAAGATTAAGTGGTTCGTCATCTATAGCACCTCTGCAGACACAGCCTCATGTTCCTTCCTTTTAATTGGAACCACACAACAAGCACTGTATTTGCAGTTAGCCATCTTTTTAGCTATGTTTGGATTTTTCTTTTTGTATGACACCAGGAGGTACCTCAACCTGCTGGCTGGCATTATAAGGATGTATTATTAAGACTTCTGGCTCCATGAGGCCATGAGGTCCTTGGTGCTCTTTTGCTGCTCGGCTGCCTCCTTCTTTTGGTTTCTTAAATGATGAATACATGGCTTCAGTGGGAGAACCAAATTCCCTACTTACGTGAAAGAGTTGAATGGCTGGTACTTACCCATATGACTAATCTGTTCAGCGACATCGTCTGTAATATCCGAGAAGTCCCACATGGCCAAGGAAGACTTGAACCATGAGCCTTCTTCCTGGCTCTGAACGTGGGGTTTGTGTGAAAAAAGGTGATGGTGGGCAATCCCAGCCACAAGCATTTCCAAACAAAAGAGGAAATCCTGTAAGAACAACAAAAATAGCAGCTAACTTTGGGGCTTAAATCTAGGGAAATAGGAAGAAAAGGGCTAAAGGTGTAGGGAAAGTGGGAAGGGTAGAGGAAAGGAAACAAGGGACAAGAAACAAATATGAGAAAATGAAAAAGTGGAAATAAGAGTTTTTGTAAATAGAGGAGGAAGGAGGGGGTGAAGGGAGGCAGGGACAAGGGGAAAAAATGAAAACCAAGACCTGTCCTGTAAAGGTACAGGATCCCAGCAATGAATGTAACTGTACTGTATCCCTAAAATGTACCAATAAACTCAATGAGGAAAAAAAGAAAAAAAAGTTCAAATGTACTGATAAACTTAATCAAAAATTAAAAAAATAAATTGCTATCTTTCACCAAGCACTTTTCAAAAGAACTTAAGTTTCTGCAGCTGTTTTCATTTCATATTATATTCATGATTCCATTTCCAAAAATGATTTACTTCTTCATAAATCTATTTTGCACTTCCCAAGTCAAGCATTTCCTAGCGAAGGGCACTGTATTCTCAATACACCACCCAGAGACTAAGGAAAAAAGCAGAAAGAGAAATAGACTAAGAAGACCAAAACCCAGGATTCATTTCATGCTCTATTAGGGTTCGTAGAGCCAGTTTCTCTAGGATTCTGTTTTCTTCAGGCTATTATTAGGTTCAGTGAAGATGACAGGTCAAACGTGTTTAACACTAAAGTTCTACTGAGGTCACAGTTAGCATTGCTTACCTGGAGGCCTATGGCCACCTCTTCTGGAGAATGCCAGTCCCACAGAGGCCCTCTAGCAATGACTTTATATTTCACCAGTAGAGAAATGATAACTCCTTGCCTAGATGTTGGGAAAAGGTAAATGCTGAATCTTTATAAAGCATAGAAAGGCAGTTGTTTTAAAAATATGTCATTTAAAATAGTTAAAACCACAGTACGACCTGAAGACCACCACCACCCTGCCTTCACAACCTACTCCTAAAGAAACCATGCATCTACCTTAAACACACAAATGTACTCTTCAAATACAGTTTCAACAGAGGAATTCTAATTATGGATTCTCAGAACTCTGTACTTGCTTCATATATCTTCAATGCTATTTTAAAAGGCAAAAGTTAGAAGAAATCTGATAGCTATACAACAGAATACTAAGCAAAAACAAAAACTCCAAACAACAAAATTGTATTTCTCTTTACTGACAAAAGAACTGTAATCGCAATATAGCGAACATATGTTGTCGAGTTCTCTAAGTTTTCTATAGTATAAAACCATGATTCCTTCAGTGTTGAGAAAATTATGTTACTTCAAATAATTTTTCATTCATGGGATAGTGACCAACTGATTATTTCTGTATGAAAAGCCTGAAAGCCCTAAAGGGGTGAACTTGTGTTCAAGTAGAGTCATTTTAATCCACCTTCTGCTAACAATACCTGAAAATCAACATTTGTATTGCACTTTAGAAAAATGAGAACATTTAAAAGAAAGCAACACTTACCAAAAAGAGACAAAAATGACAAATTTCATACTTAGAAACTTGCCAATGGGGTGGAGTGGCTTCAGTTCTTCCTTGAGTGTGGTATAGAACAAAATAAGGCAATACATAGACACCTGTGAATGAGAGTCGCATTTAAACTTCTGCAGTAAGGATAACTAAAGCAACATTAAATTATAAACCAGAGGCTTGGTACAGTTCAGGCAAAATTTTCTAGGCTCTATTACTCTGTAGATTAACAAAAAACATTTAATTTTTTCTCTTTAGGAATATATTTATAAAATCAAAGTTCTCAAAAGAGATATAGATCCCCCTCCCTGCAGACATCCATGGAAGAAAACACTTGTTCAGCCAAAATAAAAAGTCTATAATGGCTTTTAAATACAAGTTACCATTTTTAATGGTTCAGCTTCTTATCCCCTCTGTTACCTAACATTGTACATATATGAAGGAAGACAGCACCTTAAACAAGTACAGTTTCAACAAAATTGTGACCAGGAAATCAGAAAATAAGGAATCAGGGAAGCAATTTTTCTTCTGGGTGGCATGTCAGTCCAGGTAAATTTACTTTTGAAAATCATCTCTCACATTAAAATAATAAAATGCTCACTTGAAGTGTTTCAGAATCCAGAAGCAATAAAAGACAAATAAAGTTACTCAGACCCCTATCTGACCCTATATATCCAAGAGTATAGATACACTCTTTTTTTTCTTTTTTCTTTTGTAGAGCTACAGGTCAAACCCAGGACCCGGCCCATGCTAAACAAGCTCCCTACACTGAACTACAGTTTCAAGTATAAGCTATTTTTTAGATAACTGTCATGAATTCAATATAAAATTTTTGTTCACTTTATAAGGATCATTCTTAAGATGGGACTGATATTTTGGTCAAGAGCCTGATCATAATATATTTAATTAGTTCCTATCACGGATTTTGGGCTGTTTCCAGGCTTTTGCTGTTACAAACAACACTTTTTAGTCAAAACAAATACTGAGCATTTCTTTACAATAATCCCAGTATTTGGGAGGCTGTGGCAGGAGGATCACTGTGAGTTTGAGGCCATCTTAGGCTACATGCTGTGTTCAAGGGTATTCTGAACTACATAGTAAGATCCTGTCTCAAAGAAAAAAAATATATATATTCTCAGAAAAAGAATTACTGGTCATAAAGAAGATGCACATGTGGAAAAATTTTGGATAGTTGGTTATTTAATTTTTATTATAAAGCTTTAACATAATGCATCACATCTAAAATATTATTCTGCTGAAATCATTAACCAAAGATTTGAAATCAGATGCACGCACTTTGAATTCGCAGGATCAATAGTTATATCTTCAGAACACTTCAGTTTCTAGAACTGTGGCAGTCTTAATTTCCTCTGATTCCCATTACATGATGTCAACAAATTCTATTATCCCATTTTTATTTAAACCTGGAGTGCTGGTATACACCAGTTAGACAGTTTCTCTTGCTGAACATGCCCATTGTGTGTGTTTGTTTTCTCCTTGGTCCTGTTTATTCAGAGAACACTGCTTTTATTCATGATATGCATACAGAGCTAAGCAATGAGAATCAGAGATTAAACAAACAAACACAATCAACAGGTCAGAATATGATTCACCAAATAATTAAAGTTGTTATTGCATGTTTATATCCTATAAAAGTATGTATAAAGTTTTTCAATTTATTTATATAAATTAAATTTCAAGATGGAAAGGAAGCAATTGAGCTTTATTCCAAGAAATAATACTTAAAGCAGAGTTCCAGAGATCAATTACTTACCCCTTGAGAAACACTGTTTATAATTACTAAGTAAGTCCAGGAATTCTTAAGACCGAAAGTTCCTTCATAATAAATGCCAAGTGACTCACAGATGCTACAAAGCAGGGTAAAAGACACAATTTTATGATTAAATCACATATTTTAAGATACAGTGACAGCAGTGCTTAAACTCGGAAGTCAGTTTATTTGAGTGATCCTATAATCACTTGACTTTGGTCCCAGAGATGACTCAAAAATTAAAACAGAAGCATTTTCTGGAAATGTTACCATGATTATTGTGTCAATTTGAAGGAAATACAAAAACTAAGACCAATATATTGAACTAGAAAGAGTTAAAAAGCTAACTAGAAAGTTAATAATTATTAACTTTTTACAAAACTATGCTGTCTAATTTTGAAAAGGTTGATTGTAATTGTTAGCTTATTTCTCCCCCTAAATTATCTTAGAGGTCATTATGAATAGCCAGGCCCTTCAAGTATATTTCACATGTAATGTTCATTTGCATGCTCATCCAGTTTCTAAGCTGCAGAGAAATAATGCATACCTTCATAAAGAAATATATTCATCTTAGCTGACTAAGATTCCTGCTCAAAATGACAATATAAAGAACTGAACCGTTCTTTCCATCTTTTCTTTGTGAGCACACAGAGTGTTAGTAAGGACTAACAGATAACACATACAGTCTACCTTCTTTAAATTACTTCATATTCTTAAAATTTTAGGAAATAGTTTCATCAGATAGCTTAGTATTTCATGTTACCACAAATTCTAAAAATCTTGACAATATTTAAAGAAAAATATGATTTTTTTGGAATAGTACTGCCAATATACTATAAATTAACTATGATAAATTCATGTAGTCATCCAGAAGTAACATACTCTAACTTAACCACAGCTTCTATAAAGCTATGTGATCATTCACATTTAGAAAAGCATCTTTTTGAAAAATGCATTGTGGCATACTCTAGAGGGGACATGAATCCTGGTGATTCTTTGCCCATTAACGCTTATTCATCTTAATAAAGTTTTTACACATTGTGATTCTTTTACAGCAAACTAGGCTTGTTTTATGAACAATTCACACATTTTTTGCTCATTGTTCCCAGGGGTACAAGGATTGTTTTTAATGATGTAAAAATTATGTTTACAAAGCAACCACAGTCATCACAGTTCTAATTGCTGTGTATTGTAAAACTCCTAGTTTGCACCGAAATAGAATAACTCTGAAAAAGAAAACCAAATTGAGCATTTCAACTTCTTATTTAAATAGCATCAGAACATCCTCAAAGACTCCAAATTAAAATCACTTTGATGAATGACATTATTGGGGAAGGATGAGGAAGGCAGCAAATGATCTAAATAGCATTTTTAAAAAGTTATTCTCCAAGAACATCTTGTGAAAGATCTCCTTTTTTATATAGGCCTAGTTCCAGAATAGTGCCACACTCAACAAGAGTAACGGAAGTGGGTCCCTGTTACAGTTTGGATCTGAAATGTCTCACAAAGGCCCAGATGTTAAAGGATTGGTTCCCAGCCTGTGGCACTGTTGGAAAGTGGTGGACCCTCTAGGGGGTGCAGCCTATGGGAAAGAGGTCAGATCCTGGTGTGGGGGTGACTCAGAAAGGGAATACTGTAACTCTGGCCTCTTCTTCTGTTTCCTGGTCAACATGTGGTGAACTGGCCTCCTCTGCCACATGCTCACATCATGATGTGTTATACTGCCACAATCCAAAGAAACAGAGCCAGTGACCATGGACTGAAACTTGTGAAACTATGAGCCAAAGTAAACTTTTTCCTCCATTAAGTTAACTACCTCAGGTAGTCTGTCATAGTAACAAAAAAGCTAAGACAGTCCTTGTATTTTTATGGAGCAAAGACTGAGTAGTGAACTCTACATGTGTGTGTATCTGTGTGTGTGTGTGTGTGTGTGTGTGTGTGTGAATGCACATTTAGAAAGTATTATTTGCATTTATAATCCCATTTCAAATTAAGTATTTAAGCACTATAAGGGGTATCCTTGGATACTCCTCTAAAAGGACAAAATAAACATCCTTCATAAAACAAATTTTATTCTATTATGAGGTTCACTCACTATAGGGGGAGATTCACAAGGAGTACAAAACAAACAAAACTGAAAACGAGGTAAAGTCTTGCTTAACGTTTATACCACGTAGCTCTGAGGCACCTACTTAGTACTTCATCAGGAGAACTGGTATTATGGCTCCTTTCATCGAAGGGCTATGTCTAGACTGAGAAGATGGCAAGTTTGCCACACAACCTTGAGGTGTCAGGTTACTAGGCCCAAATAAAAACTACTGGAATTTCCTAAGAGCCTTCTTTGTGTTAAGGTAGCTCTTCCCTACATTCAATTAAGTGATCCCTATATGTAGGGGGAGGCTAAGCATTGTGGTAGAATTTGGTATATTTTGAGTCTCCCCCAAAGGCTCACATAGGCTTGGTCCCCAGGGTGGTGGTGAACCTTTCAGAAGTGGGACCTTGTATGACTGCTCACTACTGTCCATGCTCCTGTGAACAGTGGAGCAAGGGAGAGCTCTCCACAGGCTGCTTGGACTTATATATATATATATATACACAATGTGATCCTCACATACACTAAATGCTTACATTTTTAAAAAATGTGTTACAGTAAAAGATATATTGACATTAATCTCCCTCAATATGCTCCCCGCCACTTCTTAACAGACACCATTACTCCTGTGCTTTTTTTAAACAAGACCCCAAAAGTTATACTTACAAAATAAGATTGATAAACTCAACTAGATTAATATTTAAAAGATACACTAATCAAACTATACAATGAAAATGACAAAGCATATCAAAAACTGGAGTCATTTAACACCCCAACAAAAGTATTCATATCTACATTTTTTTAAATCCCATATAAATCCATAAGACTGACCAGTAGAGAAAAGGAATCTGAAGCATTCCTCAGAAAGGGAAAGTCAAGTGACTAACATGAAAAGATGCTCAACCAGATTCCTAATGAGGGAATCCAAATGAAGACCACAGCGCTGCACCACCGTGTGTCCTCTCCACAGGCAGGCGTGATGAAGTCTGGGGAATTCCAAAGGCGAGTGAGGACGTGGTTCACTGGCTCTATCTCACAGGGCTGGTGGAGAGTAACTCAGTGCACTTCAGACAACAACTGGCCACTGACTTGCAGAGCTCAACTAAACCCCAACAACCCGGCACATCCAGCTCAAGGTACATACCTAGAGCAGTGTTGTGCAAACTGTAGAATTCAACTTAGTGGGCTGTAACCCACTTAAAAATGAGAGATGAGAGAATAATCAAATAACAAGGGTTGGTGCTATTTCATGAAAACATCTGCTTCAGTTATAGAAGTACAAGTGTATTGCATCACTGTTCCTCCTCCCTCTGTGAACTACCTACCAAACCTTGAAAGTTCATTAAAAGAAAACTCAGTGTGCTCATTGCTTATGTTTCAGAAATCAGAGAATAAAAAAGCAGACGGATTTTATTGGTTACCAACTGCAAATATTCCATAGTGCTTGGATTTTAAAACTAAAACATTGTAATGAATTATCCTGAGCAGCACTGCCTGATTAATTACCAAATATAAAATACTAGTTATCTATTAGAGGGAGATGAGTAACCTAAGAATGTATTGATACACAGCAGAATGAAATTTTATTACTACTAAAACCACACCCCCACATTGTATAATTTTGGTAAAAATTTAATGCCTTTTCAAATGCAAGAAAACCCCTGTTATATTATGGGTACACTGCAGTGTCAAATAATTCAATTAGCTGTCAAAATTCAAAAGGCTCAGTTAAAAATGAATCCAAGCCATAGAGATTCAACAAGAATGCAAGTAACATGTAGTTAGGAACAAATCACCTGCCCAGGCACAGAATATGAGAATTTTGACCAGAATTATTTATAAAAGATTTGGAGTTTTAGTTGATCCCCAGCTAATTAAGAGCCAGTCTGGAGAGGCAGCTAGAGCTTTTTTAATTTTCAGTTTTTACAGATTTTACATCTTATCAATGGTTGTCACCACCACCATCGTATATGCTAGGCTGCTGCAACTTCTTATTTCTCCCAGTTTAAATATCTTTGCCTACTTCCAATTTAGTCCAGACAAAACACATAATTAATTATTGAAAATGAACTCTGGACACCAGTTCTTTTTATATCATCATCCTATAATGGTTTCTCTTTTGATGGGTTTTTAATGGCCACACTTAACACAAGTTCTTTTGAGCCCTCTTCTTCTTTTTTTTTTTTAATTTCTTTATTTTTATTTGTATTTATTTATTTATTTATTTTTGGTACTTGGGATTGAACTCGGGTCCTTGCGCTTACAAATGAGCCCTGTTCTTGAGGACATCTCCTTCGCTGTTCTGCTTAAAGCCAATCTACACTGAGAATCCTGAGTCACTCCCCCTCCCCTTGACACGGGCGCCCCTGCACAAATCAAGTCTGTCACCCTCTCCCTGGATGTCTATGCCAAAAATCCTGTTGGCTTTTACACCAAGAATCCTGTTAGTCAATTCAGCAAGATTCCTTTTTTCATTTCTCCTTTTAGTAATTTTATATCTACTGACCCTTCAATCTACTTTTTGAACTGCAAATCCCCATGTGCCCTTGTTGTATTTGGAACTGAGCACAGTACTGCCAGCAGAGTGTGGCGGCCCAGCCATCACAACACGAATGTACCTGAGTTGGGGAGTGAGGATTGAGAAAGGAAAGAACACTCACACCTGAGTGGAGACCAAGAGAAGTCTGGTTTATTTCTACAGAAACAGCTTTCCTTAAAGGCACATTAACAGGAAGCATCAGGCAATCATCTCCATCATTTCTTATGCAAAAATAGGAATTCCTGATTTCTACAGATACTACCAAATCTTTGGCTATCTCTTTGAGTTCCTCCCATGGCAGGGTCAAAGAACAAATAAGCTTAACAAACAGAGTCCTTGAAAGGTAACAAATGTTACATAGCTTGTATCAATGCCTTCATTGTAGAGGAAGAAGTTTCCTTTCAAATGTCAAATGCCAGGGAGCCACGGTGGGCTCCCACAATTCCCCCTTTTTTATTATTTTTAGAGCAGGGACCTTCCCAGCTCAGCAGAAAGAC